TCATGCAAAAGCAGGAGAAGATGCAGCTGCCTTAAAGAGAGGCAGTGCTATCTTATGCTCCCGTGAGGATCAGGATTCCTCTTGGGAATGCAATGAAAAGGCTGCAGAGCCGTATTCCAAACAAGAAGAGACAGAAGCAGTCAATAGGCTGTTGGAAAGCTGAGCACTTCTATTCGTTGCTGTAGAAGGAGAAATGCACGCACAACAAATGGCCTTAAAGCCTCCGTTATTCATTTCTTTAGGTCGTGGTCGTTTATCAGAATGTGACTCCAGCGAATGCCGAACACCCACCAGTCGAGTGCAAACAGCCGGAGTCCCCCTGAATTGCTTTCCCTTCATGACAGCGACTCCCGAGTGCGCTTGCTTGCTGCAGATTGAAGCCTTAAACTTTTTAAAGGAACTGCACGTGACTTTTTAGTCGGTGGAACGCAAAAGACCTCATGGACTGAGCAAAGCACCCTGCGTAAAAGATCTTGAGAATGTGAATGTTCTTCACTGCTGGCTAAAGTGTCCCTTTGTGGGCTGGTTGGCGCGTTGTACCACGTTATGGTTTGCTGCTGGAAAATGCGCCATCAGCTGGGTTGACACAACATGCTATGGATGAACTATAGTTTCTACATCACAGTGGCCCACCACATCAGGGCTTAGCCAAATCTGCGTGTGGTCACCAAAGAAGCTTACCAGCTTAGTTACTAACCCAGCTGCATTCATACAACAAACTACACTTGGATAATTTTAACCTGGGTTAGTTCATCATTAGTGTACTTAGTTTACGGTTCAATGCATTCTGGAAACCTAGTTTTACTCTTGAATTGAGGACTCCAGGTCCATGCAGTTTTCTTATCAAACATACAGAGATATAATAGATAAATACCTTCATGAATATAAAGGCGGGGGGGGGGGGATATTCAGACTTGTAAGGTTCTGTTACTAAGGCTTTATAATAAAAGTAGTACTGACCTACATGCCATTGGATCCCTAGTCTGATCCACCTTGAAGGGCTGACATAAGTGCCTGGTCCCATTGCACAAAGAATTGAATGGGCAATTTGTATGGAGATATCTGTATGAGTGACCATGTCATGCTGTTTTCCATCCCCTGGGATCATGTATCTGCCTCCCTCTCCTGTGAAGGAAACCAACGTCTTATCGGTCCCCTAAAAAGCATGGCCTGTACAGACATATCTTTATATGTGCACAGGCTGACATTTCACACCCATAACCGTCATGCATTTCTTGCCTGCACTTATCATTGGACACATAAACAATGTGAGGCCAATCATTTATTGCTAGATCTACAGTCAGCTGCGGCTCCAGAACATTCCATGCCTGGAGGGGGCAGCAGAGCGATTTTGCAGACCGCGGATGTAGTCCCACTCGTCTCCCGTCTGCTGGCTTATAGCAGCAGACTGTCTGCATTGGAAGCGGTTTCACCTGAGGAAGGAGGGACAACAGCAAAATAAGTGCAGGGACCGTGGGTTTAGTAATGACTTACAGACCTGTCTTACCATAGGAGAGAGATGGCCTGGTACTTACTTATTTAACCAAGCAATCACTTTTCGCCGTGGGAACAATAATTAACTGATCCACTTGGAACACCCAACAACCTGGTTCACCCACATTGGTAGTGTTCCCAATATTGAGAATCTCAGGAGTTCGGGAACCGGGGATGTTGTAGTAATTTTTTTTGTCCCCGCTGTCAAAGCCAGCCTGGTGAAGAGGTAAAGAGGAGGGGAAAGAATGACATCCTTTCTCATTAACACCCTAACAGACCACCTCACTGGATTCCATGCCTATGGATCAACAGTATAATGCAGCTTCTCAAAAGGGCAGCATTCTTTTGGGATGTGTTAACAGGAGCATCGAGTCTACATCACAGGAAGGAATTGTCCCCCTCTACTCTGCCTTGGTTAGGCTCCTTTTGAGAGACTTGTGTCCAATTCTGGGCACTTTAATCTAAGAAGAGCATCAAGAAACTGAAGCAAGTTCAGAAGAGAGCTACCAAGGTCTTGAAAGAAATGGAAACCAAGTCCTACGAGGACAGTTAAGGCCCTGAGCAAGTTTGGCCTGAGAAGAAAAGATTGAGAGGAGATTTGTAGCAGTTCAGATGTCTAAAGGGCTGCCCCATAAGGAGGGAATGGCTTGCAACTCAGTTGTTCAGAAAGGCAGGACCAGAACCAATGTGTTGAAACTACGGGGAAGTGGATTCAGGTTGCATATTAGGAGGAATATCTTCCTGACAGTAAGAACTGCCAACCAGTAGAATAGGTTGCTTCATGAAGTGCTGTGTTCCCCTTCACTGCAGGTCCTCAACCAGGCTGGATAGCCATCTGTCCAAAGTGCTTCAGGAGATCCTACACTGAGCAGGGGGCTGGATTAGATGCCATCTTATGTCCCTTCGAAATCTAGGATTCACCTGCAGTGGAAGGTTGCATTACTATCAATCCTCCTCCTCCTCCAATTTGTTTTGGGCCTCTTCTGATCCTCCTAGGTAGAAGTGGGCAATTCATGCGTGGAAAGCTCTTATGGAGAATGGAAGTGCAAATCTTGTCACCCCCTCATGGCATATCCCCCCCCCGTTTTTTTTTACCCACTGTTGTGCTGGGAATGGGAGAAGAGTATTTGCACACACATGACTCACACCCGCACATCTACTATATGTTCAAATTGTATGTCTGACAGAGGAAATGGAGTGGCAGAGAAGATAAGCCAGCTAGAGTTCCTTGGAGAAAGGACAGGAAGCTTAAACAACAGTTGCAATTAAACAGATTTGGACTGGTTCAGTAATAGTTGGAAATCTCTCTCGGTATGTGTTCCTGGAAAACCTATTTTTTCTATTTACCCCCTCCCTGCCCCCCAGCTGTAGACATCCTTCCTATAAATATTTAGGCAAAATCCAGTGACACTTAACCCGCCTCCCCAAAATTCAATGGCAATGCAGATGAACTGATTCCAACGGTATCATTCAAAAGACATTGTGCAGCTATGCCATCATATTCCTCCTTAATTCTCTTTGGGGTATTTTTTGGTCGCTGTTGGTGATCATGGTGTTGATAAGCAATTAAGAGAACACTAACTACCCAATGGAAGTTGATGTTTTCTGAAGTTTTCTGACGCTCATAAAAAAAAGGAAAAACAGCAGCGTAAAAGCATGAATTGAGGAGCATAACCAAGGGTCACTTTTTGTATCAGTTCACTTTGATTACTATGAGATAAGGTTGCATTAACTGGGCAAACTTATCCCTCTATTTCTTGTTGTGCCTTCAAGCTGCCCCAGAGCTACCTGAGCGGGGATTCCTCCAAGTCCTGTCATGGGATCTCCATCGCTTGCTATTCCGGTGGTCCACTGTATATCAGCATAGTTCAGCATGATGAAGGATTTTTTTTCATCGGTGGCCAAGACAGCCTGGAAGGTGTTGGCCTGCAGCAAAAAGGAAAGATGATCTTTCAAAGCTTCACTATCTCTTGCTTAGCAAGGTTGTCTCTGAAGTAAAGTCACCTTGGAGTTGAATTCGAGCCCTAGTGACTTACCTGAATGTATCCCTGCAATTTCTTGTTGTGTTAAAAAGAGCTATGGAGTCCTTGGTGCTCTCTGAGATTGGTTATTGGCTTGATAGGGGTGTGGTTTTCTCCTTGGTACTAGGTACTGCCAAGGAATTATCAAGGAGAAAATCACACCCCCACCAACACTGGTAGGGCACCGATGATGTTATCCAGATGGGTAATGAAACCCATCAGGGACTCCCTGAGCTACATATATTCTCTTCTATTAAAAAAGGCTATGCCATTCCTTTCTTGTGGTATATTGTCAACTTCCAGTCTCATCCATGTGCTCACCCAGGCTAATTCTACTTAGCTTTTTAGATCAGCCAAAGTTGGCTACAACTTTTTTGCAGGATGATAGAGAGGCCATCTAGTGGCAGCATTGAACATTGCATGTTGATGATCACAGAGAAACGTCAATGTGATTAGAGTTTTCTCTCTGTGTCTGTGTGTCAAAAGTCAATGTGATTAGAGTTTTTCTTTCCTTTCCTGATAAAAATGTGGGTCTTCCCCACAACATCAGCCCACCTCTCAAGTATTAGGACATTTAAACCATGGATGACATTCAGTAACCTGGGAATTGAGGATTCTGTTGGGACTGTATAGCTGCTTTCTCTGCTACCACCAGGTCTCAGAAAGTCCATTAAATAAAAGTAATAGTTTTAAAATTGGATAAAATAAGAAAGAATGGAAGAGGTGAAGGACTCAATTTATGGGTAGGGTTTAAGAAAAACAAAGGTGTTCACTCTGCCCATTTTTCTTTCATTCCCATCACATTCCTCAAGTCCCAAAAGGTAAGTAGGGTAGAGAGAGAAGGATCTGCCCAAAGTCATCCAGGGAGCTTCCACAGCTGAGGGTGGACTTGAAACTGGGTCTTGCTGCTCCTAGTCCAACACTTTCCGCTCTACTCCCATGGCTCTAGGGCTGAGAGGGAAAGATAGCCCAAAGTCATCCAGTGAGTTTCTGTGACTGATGGGGGGAGAAGATCCTGATCCTAGTTCAGCACCTTTACCTCTACACTACATTTACTCTCAGTGAATAAGCAGTAGCCACTGGAGTGGGGGAAATATTCTAGATTACCATGGACTGCAGGCCTGTGTGAGACCTACCTTATCTGAAGCAGATCCAAAGTAGGCCACCCCTTCCCAGGTAGCTAAAAACATCCAGATGGGCGTGAAGGAAATATCAGGGAAGTACCGACTGATATCTGCAGTGAACCGACTAAGCAGCGTTGGGTCTTGGGTCTGTCTCCAGAAGATGTTTCCAGCAATTACATTGTCAACATCAGCCCAATATGGAGCAACAAAGGGCACTCCATCATCCAGAGGGAAAGGATCAGGTGTATATTGTGAGACATTCTTTCCAAAGGAGACAACCCCATTGTTGTTGACCTGGAGAAATATAAAGAAAGGTGGGTAGGCTGTGTTCATTTGACACACTCAATATGGTTACCAAATTAGCCAATTTTCTAGAATCCTAAAATACATTAAAATATAAACTAAGCAATCTGGGTTTACATAACATGCTAAGTCTCACTCACTCACTCACTCACACACACACTCTTTGTCTTTCTCTAACCAAACGTAACTAATCAAGCTTTGCATGTTGTGTGTACGTGTTAGCTAGATTTGTACGTGACCTGGTTAAGCATATTGTATGAATGCAGCCATAGCATTCTTCTCCAGTAGAATTCTCTCTCTGACATTTACCATCTCTTTCTGAGCTGAATGGCAAAATTCTTCATAAGATGAGTGCTTGGTTCTCTGTAAGACTTCTCACAAAATATTTAGCCTTCATGCATCAAAGACATCTCCTGTTTCAGATGTTTGCCATTCAACTCTTGAGAGGACGCAAATGTAGGGAAGGAGGCATATTAGATGAAGTGAGATGTCCCAGCCTGGTCCCCCTACTCCCCAATTTTTAATCACATAAAGGAGAGATTGCCTAGCAGTGCTTGAAAACTAGCATTTAATGTGAATCAGGCACAAGAAAGTGATAGAAGAGACATTGAACTAAAGCTGGACTTCATGGCATAATTCAGGGCCCCAAACACCAAATGGGGAACCCCAAACAATGGCCATAAAAGGCAATAGTGCAGATGATAAGGAAACAGATCACTGAGGTTTACTTCTGAGGAGTTATATGTAGGATCATAATGTCAGTGTCCCCCACATATGGTGAAGCAAATGAGGAGACCAGACTAGATTAGTTCCCACTGTTCCTCAATGGAAATCATGAAACTACTATGTTAATATCAGAGAAGAGGAACATGTAGGTCTCAAGATGCTGCAAAATTATAATTCCCAACAACCCTAACTTCTGGTTGGACCTGTTGGGACTTGGAGGTCAACATTGGGAGCCCCATAATTTCCTCATGCCTGGTTTCTAGTGTACTCATGATTGGGTTTCTGATTGTATTCAGATGACTGTAAATGGCTCGAATCCCAGTCGTCCATTTTCATAAAGGCATATTAGTGGGCAAGCATAGGTTGTTACTCTTATGCATCTACGAAGCCTTTTTAGAAATGAAAGTCATGGGAAGTTTGTTTGGTCCTCTCCAGCTACCTCACCAAATGATACATCTTGCCTCTCCAGATAGGTGTAAAGAAATTAAGCATTAAGGCATATCAAGAATGGGAGTGGGTGGGTGGACAAGCTGAGTCATGTGGCCCCTTTCTTAGTTTTTATAAAGAAATATGAGGTTTATTTCTGGCAGATACTACATACAAAAACGGAGTAGTATTTCTTGCCATAGAAGGAGAATGGTGTTTGGATGGAGATCTCTGGCGAATTCCCATCGTCATCTTTGGGGTTTTCTGAGTCACCTTGGTCTTTCCCATAAGGATATAGCAACGATGCTAGAATAAGAGAGAACATCACTGGTTTACAAAAGACCACTTTGAAAAGAGCAGACCATGTGTTCATTCAGACCTTGATTTCTCTTCCCTCCAAGCAGCCACCCTGGAAGATCAATTTCTGCAGATGCCGCTCATTCTAAACTCCCTTCCTGTCTCCACTTAGGTTGGATCCTGTTCTTCAGAAAACCATATTTGGTTTTGGGATTTTCAACTGCTAACCCCTAGCTGATTGCTCAACCGATGGTCTACTGGGTAGCATCTAACAACTCATCTTTACTCATGAGTGGCTAGCTCATGATTACTCTTGGCAGGAACTCTGGTCAGTTTAATTTGGGGAATAACCAATAGGTGCTAGTAGAAGTTTGTTATTAGCATCAGGGAGGTAGGCATCTGACATTTTACACCTTTGCCCTGAATATTCTGTGATTTTCAGAACATGTTTGTTCTGCATTTTAAAGAATGCTTTGCCAATATCATCTGACTTCTGCTTACAAAAACATTGATGGAGTTTTAGAGTTTTGCTAGGGGTGTGTGTGTACGTGTGTGTGTATTCATTCCAAATTTGGTCACTGCCCATCTCAGTAGGAAGTGACTCTGGGTGGCACATAATAATTATATGTGTGTATATTATATATACACATATATATACACATATATATATACACACACACACATATATATATACACACACACACATACATATATATTTAATTTATATATATAAATTAAAACACAATAACAATGTAATAAAACCATATTCATACATAAATAATAATATCTTCCAAGGTGCTGCTGGTAGTTAATCCCATCATAAAGCAGAGACTATGATCATGACGAAGCTTGTCCTTGTACTCGGATGTGTTTGAGAAGAACTCTCCTGTGACTTTGCCATTCAGTACGGCAAGGTCTCGGAAGAGAAGTCTGAATGTGCATGAAGGGAAGATGTAAGGCTGTCTTCCCAACTTGAATGTATGTAAACTTCCAACAACCCTGATTGCTCATTGGAAGGATCGATAATGAAGCTCAAGCTCAGATATTTTGGTCACCTAATGTGAAGAGAGTTCTCTTTGGAAAAGCCCCGGAGGCTGGGAAAGATTGAAGGCAAAAGGAGAAGAGGACGGCAGAGGATGAGATG